AGGAAAACTCCAAGGTCTTGTTTGGATGGATTTTTGAGGAAGGTTTGGATTGGTTTTCCTAAATCCTTCTGAACCAAAATTTTTCTTTATAAAGATGAGATTAAACATAATTAAATTCGATCTATACCCATATTTGGTATGCGATACATATACATGTAAGATTTATATATATATCATAATTATTAACAATTATTTTTCTTATAAATAACTATTTTATTTTTTGTCATTCTAATTTATACTCATGTTAAGGGGTATAATTGTCTTTTGTATATTTAATCTCTTAACTCATCTTCTCAAACTTACCTCTCCTTTAGGTTTAACGAAACTCATGATCATGAGTTTAATATTTGGGACAATTGTGGGTCGGATTTGGGAATACCAGATTAAATTTTCAATTCAAACATGAGGTTTGTGGGTCTTATGGACTATTTTTCTTAAACTCATCTTGTCAAGCCTTTTTTAACCCTTTTACCAAACAGCCCCCAAAGGTTTCCGTCAAGTGTCTAGTATCATTTTATTTTATCTCTTTTGTAATCAAATGATTGTTGAGAAGAAAAAGAAGATCGGTTAGAGGAAGAAAATTTAGAGTTTAAGAAGAGTAAAGTCATAGATGAATATTTTTCTTGATTATTGACTTGCACATATACAATAAATAGATAGTTACAATCGACAGTTACTTATTGACAATACTAACCATTCACTGCATATTTACTATCAAAAAATTGAGAGTCGTTATTTATTGGAGTGATGCGAAATAAAATTGATACTTTAAGGTATAATGTAAGAAATTTTATAGTTGATGGTGCAAAATAGAACAAAGGTAACAGTTCAAGGTGATAAAAAATAATTTACCCAATGATAATTGCCCCTGATTGTTGAACTTTAAGGTAGAAGGTTTGAATCTCGTCACCCTTTTTTCTATAATAGTGACTGGCTCGAAAAAAAAAAAGAAAAAGGCAGATCAAGTAACAGATGTATAGATAGCTGCAAATGGAAGCTGAAGTAGTGAATGCTTAATGAAAGGTGAATTTGCATAAAACACGGCCCAGTTTGGCATTGGCATTAGAGACGACTTTCAAATCTCTTCATTTCTTTTCTTTTCTCTTCCATCCCTTTAAAGTCTTTCAAATAAATGCTATAGCTTTCTCTTCCATTTCCTTTCAGTTTCTCTCTCTTAATCTTTCCATCCAAACAAACTGGTGATTAAAAAGATAAGTAAGAATAACAACTTAAGACATAGACATGCATATATAGTTACCATATTATTTTGTGGGGGTGGAGAGAGAGATAGATAGAGAGAGAAGAATCTATAAAACCTGAACACTGCTTTTAAACAAAAAATGCGTGCCATATGTAATGGATCAGTATTGGCATCATGGCATGCAGCTTCTTCTTTTAACGTTGTGCAGTACCACCATTTGCACCTCAGAAGCAGATTGTTGGACAGTGATGGGAATCCAATTAGTTGTGGAAATTACTCAAGATACTTTGTATCAGGACCTGCCATATGATCTGGGTGTTAGTCATTGAATAGTTTATAGGTTTTTTTTTCTTCCTTTTTTGAAAAAGGAAACTTTTTTTCTTTCGTGTCTCTTTGGTATATCCTTATAACAGCTTAGTGAGATCAGGATGCTCTCAATTATACTTTCGTTTAATTTTATTTAATAATAGATTATTTGCAGTGTGCGGATAAGAAAACCACTTATAAATAGTGGGTTCCACTTGAGGCGTTTCTACCTATCATTTGTCATCATCTTTCACTAATGTATTTCTAGGAGATAATCCGAGTTTTGACAAGCCAGGGAAACACGAGTGAGATGTAAATTTCCATGTTTTGAGTTTTTGGTTGCAATTATGATTGTAATTTGGGGTGAATCCCCATTAAAGAAAACAAAACAAAACAAAATAAAACTGCTTGCGTTGCACCATGAAAACAGTGGGCTGAAATTGGAAACAAGAATCTCACCTTCAGACATTCAAAATATTTAAATATTCAAACTATTTAATCACTATATTTTTTTTTATAAATATTCGAACTATTTAAGCCAATTTTTTTTCTTAATTTTTCACATATTCGTGCTACTTCTACGATTTCATGAATGTACTCCTTCCTAATTGTTTCCTTTACAAAAAAAATGTTACTAACAAGAATCTGAATCAAAATTTGTTCTTCGTACCAGCAAGAACTACCATGTTTCAAACACCCCCACTCAGGTAAAAAGAGGAACTACCATGGTGGGTGGCTTTTGACTAATGCCAAGTTGTAAGAAAGGGTGGTTTGGAGGTCTGCCTCAAGGGTTTTATAAGTCTTCTCAGATAGATGAGCACCATTTGAAGATCAGTGGGATCCATCTTTTTTTAAAAAAAAAAAAAAAACAACAACAAATCAAGTTGATGGAATAGAGAAATGGGAGAAAAGGACAAAAAAAGAAGGTTTCATGGAAATTGGAATCATGTTAAAAGTTGTACCAAAAAGTTAATTAAACAGGTAAAAAAAAAACCCCAATTTGATGCCAGATTAAGGTAATTAAATAGAACCCAGTTGGTGTATGAAGTTACTAAATTGCCATTGCTTTTGAAGATATATATAGTGTATACAACTGTCCTTGTTTGGAAAATTTTGGCTTGATCTCTGGATTTATTACAAGATTAGAGGCCAATCCACAAGTTGGCTAGCTGTGAGAAAACAATTTGATGCTAATGATCTTTTTGTTTCAAACAAAAAAGGGCAAGTCCAAAGACCCCATGCACTCTGGAATATAGTGGGGGGGTCGAGGAAGAAAGTTTGCCTCGTAAAAAATTTGATATTATTATAAAAATTACTTTGTTTTTACATACTATTTTTTTTTTAGTTCAATGATCAGGGCTAATTTACGTGCACCTCGATTAATTTTCTCTTCGACCTGATCAAAGATAAACTATTTACGCCGAGACTAGAGTATATTTATGGGAGATAAATCCCTCGTGGTCTAACCTAAAGGGATTGCTAAGATTAATTCGTCTCTCATGGTATGACCTTAATAAATTATTAAAATTCAAATTTAAAATTTTTGAATTTATAATTTATCTTTATTACCACTTCAACTATTTTCAATTTTGTACATACTATTCACCAGCCACCCGGAGCCAGACCCTATTCATTTTCCTAGTAAAGTTTAGTAAATGAACATAACCACATGATAAGAGAGCACTTACCGCCAACCAACATGCATTCCTCTTTCTGAATATTTATGGTTTTTTTTTCTAATGTAATGTGTTAAATAAGTGAGTAAATATTGAGTATAACGATTATACCATGTCAGTGTTATCATGCAGTGCAATCATCCAATAATAAATAAATAAATAAACAAGTGAATCCTATATATATAATAAAATATAATACAATTTAAAATTTAAAAGATAAACAAAATGACTTTTGATTTTCGCGGTTAAAATCTTTTAAATTTTATTTTAAAGTTAATCCAACGGATAATATTAATACACCAAAATTAATAGAAAAAATAGGTTCATAAGGATGTGTTTGAAGTCACTTTTTAAAAATACTTCTAGAATTTTTAAATTTTTATAAATATTTTAAGAAAAAAAAATAGTATTTAAAACTGTCCCACCATTATAACTACCCCCAACCACCACCACCACCACTCTCGCCATCACACCCTTACCTTAACTTTAACAATCACCACCACTGTTACAACGCCACCACCACTACCACACCTGTCGCTCCACCACCACCACCATTACAACTACCATCATCACTGCTGCTGTTACACTACCACCACCATCACCACTCCCACCACCACCATCACCACTATCACCATTCCTATTGCCCCACCACTACCATCATCACCGCTACCACCACCACCACCACCTCTTTTACAACAATCATCACCACCATCGTCATTGCCACCACCACCCCACAACTATCCTATTACCACTATCCCATCACCGTCTCCCACCATCACCACCAGCACCACTGCCGCTCACCTTCACTATCACCGCTCGCCCCAACTACAAATTAGTCCTTAAATTCTTTTTTTTTTCTGTCCTCTATCTTTATAATTTGATTTTGGATGTAAATATCAATATGTTTATTATTGACATTTTTATTATTATTATGTGCCTTCAAACATAATAAATAACTAATTTTTTAAATATGTGACAATTACTATCATTTATGAAAGTGTGATTATTTAAAATATTGGGGTCTATTTTATTTATTTGTTAGTTTGTCATTGAACAATTATATCACATAACAATATTGATATAATGTAATCATTACACCTAATATTTTTTTTAAACGAGGAGTGGTAGGTCATGAAAATAAAGAGTGTTAAATCAGTTTGGCAATATGCAATCTTAAGTTTCAACAAAGGGAACGGTGATTAAAAACCCAACAACTAATCTCACAAAATCAAATTTTGCGATCAAATCAAGAGGTCAAATGAGATGACAGCTGACTTGGACTTTTTTATTTGGTGTCATGTCATTTGTATTTCAATAAAAACTCCAAATAATATACTGTCATGTCATTTAGGCTCTTAATTTGACCAACATAACATTTCTGTCGCAATAAACACCAAAATCTTCTTTAGTTGATTCCTCAAATACAAACAATTGGGTGAGGGGAGTCGGCAGTCTTTAACATAGCATCGAACCCAATTACGTCATTCCGGGTGGAAACAAGCGTAGGCTAACGAACTCCATGGCAGATCACGTAAAATTAGGCAAAGACAAGGCTCTTAAAGTTAAGACTGCGTCCAAAGAAGTTGCAACTTGATGATCCCACTTGCAAGTCCGGCGTAATCCTCTCTCTCTCCTGTCCAAATGGTTTTCTTTTCTCCGAGGAAAGATCAAACTACTACAAGTGGACAAAGATTTATCATTCTCTCTCTCTAAACATATATGGGTAATACATATCTTGGCATTATATATATCATATCTTATGGCGTGTAAAACCACCTTTCTTTCTTATTTGGGAAGAGAAATAGAAAGAAAAAGACATGCCTTCACCTCTTCAACTCCACAGGATCATCGCCACCGCCAACCCCACCACCACCGTCGTGAACCACCAAAAACAATCCCAACCCACATGGAAAACCCCTGTACCTATTCAACTACCCGATAATGTGTTCCACCACCACACTCACGCGGTTGGGTGTGACCAGTGTTGCTCCTCCGTGGTCCAAACCATCTCAGCCCCGATCGCCGCAGTGTGGTCGGTGGTTCGCCGCTTCGACAACCCACAAGCGTATAAACATTTCCTCAAGAGCTGTCACGTGATCGTCGGCGATGGTAACGTGGGTACTCTCCGGGAAGTTCAAGTGGTCTCCGGCCTCCCAGCCTGTTCCAGCACTGAGAGACTCGAAGTTCTCGACGATGAACGACATGTTCTGAGCTTCAGTGTTGTGGGTGGTGATCATAGGCTTAAAAATTACAAGTCCGTCACTACTCTTCATCCAACGGCCGGTGGTGGATCAGGTCCGTCCGGCACAGTGGTGGTTGAATCGTATGTGGTTGATGTACCACCTGGGAACACGAAGGAGGAGACTTGTGTGTTTGTTGATACGATTGTTCGGTGCAATTTACAGTCACTGGCTCAGATCGCCCAGAACTTAGCTAAAACTCACACTAAATCATCGTAAGTTCTTACATGTTTCATATTCATTGATTTTGAACTTTTGATGATTTTTGTGATCTGGGTTAGTGTAAATTGTTGTCACCCAGATTTGGAGATTCTTAGATTTTGTAGCTCCTGAAGCCTATGAGATCGTAATTTCTGAATGTGATAGAAAGATTTATGTAATTTCTGGGCAACCTGTCTGAACCTTGTGACGGTGTTTGTGTTACTATCACCTCATGACTCCAATGTGTTTATGTTCTTTACTTTTGATTTTTGAGGGCTTTGATCTTCAGTTTCTGGTGTATCCTCTCCCATTATGCTTCATTTATCCTTTATTTCTTCTCCTCTATGTGTGTGTAAGGTATTATTAATGGGAAGAGGACGACGAGGGTAGAACTCGCTACTATGTAAGTATATATTCATGAAGATATATAGGATATAATTAAAGCTTGGTGTACTTGATTATGCAGGATTGAACGAATTAACTGTTAAAAAACACCAAAAGTGATCGCTTATTTAAACCATAATCAATTTTCACTTTCCCTTTATGTATGAGCTAGGAATGTTGCAGCCATGCAGGCCTTGTTCATGTGGATGATGTAAAACGCAGAATCTGTATGAGCTATACTAGATATTGTCACAATCGATTTAGCAATTTCATGTCTTGTGATTAAGTTGTTTTTTGGGTAAATAAACATATATTATTAAAAGATTGTCATGAATTACATTGTGAAGCTGCTTCTGACGAAGAAAGAAGAGTGTAACAAGGAAGTTCCAGTGCCTGCAGCTAGTTTACGGCCAAGCACTATATGAGTACTTAGACTGAATGGGAATGTCGAATCCGAAGGTAGTAGTTTGAATTTTCAGATAAATTCGAAACTTGACAATTTCTTTGGATTAGGCCACGATGAATTTCATGGATTCCTTAATCTCTCATGGATGGTCTGCTTTTAATCGAATAAAAAAAAAGATTAATTGAAATATGTGTAAACTAACTTGTGAACTCTTGACCATAGATACCTTTAAAAAAATGAAACAAAAAATCGAGAAAAAGGTTAGACCTAGAGTGGTGATAATTGTTCATCAACTTAATCGATATGTTACTCGTTGAATTCAAAAATTAGATTAACCTAATAGTTACTTATCTTAGAAGTTGTTACAGACGCGAGCTTCTGTATTAGGTATACGATTGTTGTATTGGGCATTCTCTTATTACACATGTTATTGATGATTTAACAACATATTTTATGATTAATTAAATACCAAATGGATTTTCCGTTGTAAGGCCACATCCACATGCATGAAGAGTTCATATATACTACATTAAAATACTAGTGGTTGTGATGGAGGAATCAGCAAGCTGCTACGTATTGTCATTGATAACTCAACTTGCTATAGAAACAACAGCAAGTTGCTTGCTCTGCTACCTATATTTTATGTTGTGTTGTGGAAGGAGATGAGTTTCCAAGTTGGCAAGGAGGCTTTTATTGATCAACATTCACACCATTGTCTGCCTAATAATGTTACTCATGCCATTCATTTTCCTTGTGGACCATCGGTGAATTTATTTTACAGGACGACATACCTTCAACAACTTTTTAATAGATTGTCTGATGCAATTAATTAAATATGTGGTGTATAAAAGACATAGAGGTGAGTAGAGAAAAAAAATTGCACCAAATAAATAATTTTTTATTTATTTATTTTTTAATAGATTATGTATCATAAATTCAAGTGAGATTCATTGTTTATCGGTTGATACTTGAACATAATTATGAGTGTGTGTTGGGGGCGGGGGGGTGGACTTTAATTTCCATTTTGCATTGAACAATTCAATCCTAAGATTTGTTTCCTCCTGTGGCTGTGGTATCCAATGGAAAAAGTCTCCAGAAATGACACCTTCTGGCTACATTCTGATTCGTTGAGCAATAATGGCGGCTAAGGATGGGCCAACCCATAGTGGCCCATAGCCTCTCCGCCTACAGTGGCTCATCAGTCCTAAGCCTGCCTAGACGGCATCATGGGGTTGTAGCATGGCCTCTGCCCAATCCACCAGCTGGGGGTTGCTAGTCCAGCTTCAGTCCATCTAGACGATGAAATGGGTTTGTCATAAATTTACATTTCAAGTTGTAGTTTCATCACCTTTCTTTGAAAAAGGTTGTGGTCGGCCTGGCTTGCACCATGGCTCTACCCCATTCCTAGAGCAATGTCCAATGGCCTGAAACCTGGCTTGATAGTAGCAGTATGACTCGTGGTCAACCCGGCCCAAAAAATTGGACTGCACCTGGACAAGGCACGGACAGCCACAATAGTGACTTATAAGTCTATCAACGGATTGAATTTGAATCAGATTTTAATTTATTTAAATCCGATTTTGAAAATCTGATTCGAATTTGATCATGTGATTTATTTCTTGACCCATATCTAAATCCATTAGCAATCCAAAATCTGATCCGATCCGATCTGAATAATTCAATTTTACTATTTTTTTTCCAAATAATCACTTAATTTTTTTAATATTTATACAAAACCATATAAAATTTTTGGATCGGATCTTATACAAGTATATTCGAATCTGTGAAATATAAGGATAACGGATTCAGATAATCAGTAAAAAAAATATTAATCTATATTCGGCTAATCGGATTTAGGATAGAATCGAATTTAAATTAAAATCTGATCAATTGCAAGACTAGTAACATATGAATGTTTTGGGTAAATGACAACAATGTAATTTATCTGGAATCGCCCAAATGAATTATGTTACTGCTTGGGGAAAAATTAATGCAATTTTTCTTGTATTATACAAATCAATTTTCCTTCCCCCAAATGTTATGGTTTAAAATAAAAAACAACAAAACTTAAATTGCTGCTCTGCTCTGACAATCCCCAGGGCATCTGACAGAACTAAATCTGTAGATTAGAACAGGCTTCAACATTCATGTACCATGAAACTCAAGGATAAAAAAGCTTGGCAAATAAAAGCTCATTCCAAGTATCCTGAAGCCCTGGCAAACACCAATGCACACAATCAGCATAGCTGACCGGGTTCGCGATCTGCTCGGGGGTTAATGGACTCCACAGTTGCTTGTAGATTGCTGTGTGGGCATCCTTGCGATAGCTTGAGAGTTGTGTGATGTTGAGAAATGCAATGGGCACCTTTGATTTACTGAACTCTTCTTCGATCACCTGCATTATGCTTTTCCGAGTATCAGATCCCCAGTATGTGGGATCTTCTATCATTGTTGTCTGATTGTAACAGTTTCCGTTTGGATTGCCACCCCAGTCTATGCTCCTGTCAAACATAAAAGATTCGTCGTTCATGATAAAGATTAATCCTCCATCCGATCCATGCCATGCCAATCATCAAGTACATGGAAAAATGTTTTCATTGCTTGACAATTAATGTAAGGCTAAATTTAAAGCTTAGATAAATGTTTGTTTTTCTAACTTGAGTTCCCTAACCGCATGAAAATAGGAAACGATCATATCAGTGAAAGTGACATCCAAGGAATGAGATCACGGTGAAATACTTCCATAATGTTCTACTTTTTCCCCTGAAATACGCCCTTCAGGACCTTTTGGGCTCTGAGTTCTCAATTGTGCTATTGATGCATAAATGTTGAAGAGAAAAACCAAGTATTTAACTTCTGAAACAAAGGAATTGAATGATTAATTTTCTCATTTATGCTATTGATGAATTCTTTATAAACCCTCAAATGGATATGTGCGTGCTAGATCTTGCACAATATAAAAACGAGAACAGATCTCTCCCTTGGTGAACTCGAGTGAGTCAGTTGGGTGGTCAATCACGCTGCTTGGAACAGCCTGTTAGATCCGGTGGTAAACTGGAACAGTAATGGGAGATTCTCACGGATCAAAGGAACGATCCAGTAAGGCTGAAGAAAGGTTCCTGGAACAAAGAAGAACAAGTTAGAAGGGCGCCGGAGTGTTTTCCGGCGTATCCCCTCCGACGATCAAGTCAGTTTTTGAGGGAGAGGAAGAAGAAAACACTGAGTATAGTTTGTAGCAAAAGTTTCACCTCCTTTTCCTTGCCTTTACTGAGGAGTATTTATACCTCAAATACTCATGATTACTGTCAGTGTGGTCAGTAGGTGATCATTAGATACAGGCAACGTGCGCACTGATTCCTATGAGGAATGTCTTCTCTCTTAACTGCTCGGGACCCCGAGCAATCAAGACTGTGTCATCGGCCTGCCGACGGTTCAATGAGCTCCTCTCGGGGAGAATGCAATAAATGTCCAGCCTTAGAGACATTTATTGTCTTTCACTTCTGAGCCTTACCGTATTGAATGCAGTCTCATCAAGGGAATGGTGTAATTAAATGTTTGTTTCCCTAAGTTGCGTGTCAGCAAGGTCATGTGGTCTTTCTGTCTCTAATGTGACACAATATGCCACGCGTCCATTCCTCATTGGCTGTGGCCCCTGCCTTCCTATGCCTTCTGACACCAATTGTGTAAGACGAGGTCATGATAACTAACCTAACTTAACTTAGGCTAGTGATCAGTGCATCAATAGCCTCTCTTGGAGCAGAGAACTTCATCCTGGATGAGAGGGGGTACATCTCAGTACCGAGGAAGAAGTACATCTCAGAGCCGAGGAAGAGGTACATCTCGGAGCCGAGGAAGAGGTATATCTCGAAACCGAGGAATAGGTACATCTTGAATCCGAGAGGGGGGAGGCTTAGCGACCGATGTACCATATCAGACTGAGGGTACGTGTCGATACATAAAAACGTACTGGATGCCACTCGATCCCATGATAAGTACCTCGGGGTAGAGGGGACTTGTGACCCGATGGGTACATGATCTCGATAACAAGGATCAGTGACACGGAGGACACGTGTCTTCATCTTGGAGTATTCCAAAAATGCCCCATCAAGATCTACCGAGAATTCTATCATCGAAGATCCCTCCAATCATTTTCTATGTTAATTGCCTCCAAAGTTGAATCTCTAGTGTTCACATTCATGTTTCTCTCTGTCTTTTCATTTGTCATATTGGCACAATGGAACTTTGAAAAGCATTTTTGCCAGGGTGAATTTGGGAGGTCAATCCGAGCTCCACCAAGTTACAGAACTCTTAAAACAAGTTTGAGCCGAGTGCCAACCATGTTAAAGTTTTGATCTTAGATTGACATTCAGGCTCAACCTACATTTACTAATTCTTGTTGAGTTCAATTCGAATCCCAAAAACATCTACAC